TACAAATAAATCGCGTTGATAGAAACAAACTTTTCTATTTAAATAGTTTTTTGCTTCTAATGTAAAATTTTAAAAATGTTAGATAGGGCCGTGTGCGCGTTAGGTGACGATATCTGAAAATATTTTCTGAATATTTGTAATTGTATGATTCGTTATAAAATTAATAAATTTATTTTTTTATGCAATAAAAATAATATGTAACCACAAGAGTAAAGAACGTTAAACTAATTTAATCATAGTTTATTTATCTAAACAATATAATTTAATTATAATAAATATCGAACTTTTAGTGGTCACGCCAATATTTGGAACTAAACAAACTTTCCTTAAGAATAGGAAATTCTATGAAGGTGATAAGATAAATGTATTTTATATAAATTTTAATATTTTTAATATGAATAATTCAAAAATTTTAATTATTTATAAATTGATTAAAAAAATAGTTGGAATTATCTTTGCCTTTATATTTTCCATTACGTAATATAGTTATTTCCATTACGTAATATAATAATATTAATCGTACACTTTTATATGTCATTCTTTAAAGATAATAATAAACCGACTTTTGAATTTTGTTAATTATATAGGTTATAAAAATACATTTATGTTGGCCAGTGTAAATAATTGAAAATTTTAAGAAAAAAAAAAAAAAACGATTAAAATGTATCTATTGTATATTTTCTTTTACAAGAGTTTATTTATTTTATTTCACACAATTCAAAGCGTCTTAATAGCTGCAAAATCTGTGTAAACACATACAATATTTTCTAAAAAGTATTTTGAAATATTTCAAATATTCTTATGATAATTGTAATATTTCATCAAATATGCCCAGTATTACGTATTGTTTACATTTGGGTCAATGATTTGCCTATTATTATTTTTGCGCTATTTTAACAAAAAAAAGTTGAAAGGGAATTGTGTTTATAAATGTTTTTGTTAAAAATAATTTAAAAAAAAACTTTATAAATAAACAAGTCAAAGACATTTTATTCTTCCTATGTTATAAAAAGCTGAATGTTCAAAGAAAATTTTAATGCCTAACATTTTTTTCTGCAAAAATGTTTAAATGATTTCTTTTTTTTTCCGAAATTTTATTTTCTTTTTAAGATCATAAAACGTTTAGTTCGGTTCGTTAAAGAAATAAACAAGTAAGATATTTAATTGTTTCCTATGATTCTGGTAATGTTAGTGAATGGTGGAATGGTATCAATCACAAAACATTTGTTTTCAAATTAATCAATCTTGTAACACATTTGATTTAAAAAAGAGAGAGGAAATTGTTAATACACATAAAGCAATGTGTTTATGAGACAATTTATATAAATAAAAATACGTCAAATAGAATCATTTTTAAAATTAATCGATTTTCACTTTAAAAAACTATGTAGACTAATAGACCATAGTCTATAGTCTAGTCTATAGTCTAGTCTAGTCTAGTCTATAGTCTAGTCTATAGTCTAGTCTATAGTCTAGTCTATAGTCTAGTCTATAGTCTAGTCTATAGTCTAGTCTATAGTCTAGTCTATAGTCTAGTCTATAGTCTAGTCTATAGTCTAGTCTATAGTCTAGTCTATAGTCTAGTCTATAGTCTAGTCTATAGTCTAGTCTATAGTCTAGTCTATAGTCTAGTCTATAGTCTAGTCTATAGTCTAGTCTATAGTCTAGTCTATAGTCTAGTCTATAGTCTAGTCTATAGTCTAGTCTATAGTCTAGTCTATAGTCTAGTCTATAGTCTAGTCTATAGTCTAGTCTATAGTCTAGTCTATAGTCTAGTCTATAGTCTAGTCTATAGTCTAGTCTATAGTCTAGTCTATAGTCTAGTCTATAGTCTAGTCTATAGTCTAGTCTATAGTCTAGTCTATAGTCTAGTCTATAGTCTAGTCTATAGTCTAGTCTATAGTCTAGTCTATAGTCTAGTCTATAGTCTAGTCTATAGTCTAGTCTATAGTCTAGTCTATAGTCTAGTCTATAGTCTAGTCTATAGTCTAGTCTATAGTCTAGTCTATAGTCTAGTCTATAGTCTAGTCTATAGTCTAGTCTATAGTCTAGTCTATAGTCTAGTCTATAGTCTAGTCTATAGTCTAGTCTATAGTCTAGTCTATAGTCTAGTCTATAGTCTAGTCTATAGTCTAGTCTATAGTCTAGTCTATAGTCTAGTCTATAGTCTAGTCTATAGTCTAGTCTATAGTCTAGTCTATAGTCCTATAGTCTAGTCTATAGTCTAGTCTATAGTCTAGTCTATAGTCTAGTCTATAGTCTAGTCTATAGTCTAGTCTATAGTCTAGTCTATAGTCTAGTCTATAGTCTAGTCTATAGTCTAGTCTATAGTCTAGTCTATAGTCTAGTCTATAGTCTAGTCTATAGTCTAGTCTATAGTCTAGTCTATAGTCTAGTCTATAGTCTAGTCTATAGTCTAGTCTATAGTCTAGTCTATAGTCTAGTCTATAGTCTAGTCTATAGTCTAGTCTATAGTCTAGTCTATAGTCTAGTCTATAGTCTAGTCTATAGTCTAGTCTATAGTCTAGTCTATAGTCTAGTCTATAGTCTAGTCTATAGTCTAGTCTATAGTCTAGTCTATAGTCTAGTCTATAGTCTAGTCTATAGTCTTGTCTATAGTCTAGTCTATGGTCTAGTCTAGTCTATGTCTAGTCTAGTCTATGGTCTAGTCTATAGTCGTCTATAGTCTAGTCTATAGTCTAGTCTATAGTCTAGTCTACAGTCTAGTCTATGGCTAGTCTATAGTCTAGTCTATAGTCTAGTCTATAGTCTAGTCTATAGTCTAGTCTATAGTCTAGTCTATAGTCTAGTCTATAGTCTAGTCTATAGTCTAGTCTATAGTCTAGTCTATAGTCTAGTCTATAGTCTAGTCTATAGTCTAGTCTATAGTCTAGTCTATAGTCTAGTCTATAGTCTAGTCTATAGTCTAGTCTATAGTCTAGTCTATAGTCTAGTCTATAGTCTAGTCTATAGTCTAGTCTATAGTCTAGTCTATAGTCTAGTCTATAGTCTAGTCTATAGTCTAGTCTATAGTCTAGTCTATAGTCTAGTCTATAGTCTAGTCTATAGTCTAGTCTATAGTCTAGTCTATAGTCTAGTCTGTAGTCTAGTCTATAGTCTAGTCTATAGTCTAGTCTATAGTCTAGTCTATAGTCTAGTCTATAGTCTAGTCTATAGTCTAGTCTATAGTCTAGTCTATAGTCTAGTCTATAGTCTAGTCTATAGTCTAGTCTATAGTCTAGTCTATAGTCTAGTCTATAGTCTAGTCTATAGTCTAGTCTATAGTCTAGTCTATAGTCTAGTCTATAGTCTAGTCTATAGTCTAGTCTATAGTCTAGTCTATAGTCTAGTCTATAGTCTAGTCTATAGTCTAGTCTATAGTCTAGTCTATAGTCTAGTCTATAGTCTAGTCTATAGTCTAGTCTATAGTCTAGTCTATAGTCTAGTCTATAGTCTAGTCTATAGTCTAGTCTATGGTCTAGTCTAGTCTATGTCTAGTCTAGTCTATGTCTAGTCTATAGTCTAGTCTATAGTCTAGTCTATAGTCTAGTCTATAGTCTAGTCTATAGTCTAGTCTAGTCTAGTCTATAGTCTAGTCTATAGTCTAGTCTATAGTCTAGTCTATAGTCTAGTCTATAGTCTAGTCTATAGTCTAGTCTATAGGTCTAGTCTATAGTCTTAGTCTATAGTCTAGTCTATAGTCTAGTCTATAGTCTAGTCTAAGTCTAGTCTATAGCTAGTCTATAGTCTAGGTCTCAGTCTAGTCTAAGTAGTTCTATAGTCTAGTCTATGGTCTAGTTTTAGTCTATGGTCTAGTCTAGTCTAGGTCTAGTCTATAGTATAGTCTATAGTATATAGTTATAGTTAGTCTATAGTCTAGTTATTAGTCTAGTCTATGGTCTAGTCTATAGTTAGTCTATAGTCTAGTCTATGTCTAGTCTATAGTCTAGTCTATAGTCTAGGTCTATAGTCTAGTTATAGTTAGTCTATGTCTGTTATAGGTCTAGTCGATAGTCTAGTCTCTAGTCTAGTCTATAGTCTAGTCTATAGTCTATAGTCTATGTCTATTCTATAGTCCAGTCTATAGTTAGTATATATGTCTAGTCTATAGTCTGTCTATCGTTCTAGTCTATCGTCTAGTCGATGTCTAGTCATAGTTAGTCTATAGTCTGTCGATATAGTCTAGTCTATAGTATAGTCTATAGTTAGGTCATAGTCTAGTCTATAGTCTAGTCTATAGTTAGTCTATAGTTTAGTTATAGTCTGAGTATCAGTCTAGTCTATAGTCTAGTCTATAGTCTAGTCTATAGTCTAGTCTATAGTTAGCTATAGTCTAGTCTATAGTCTAGTCTATAGTCTAGTTTATAGTCTAGTTATAGTCTAGTCTATAGTCTAGTCTATAGTCTAGTCTATAGTCTGCTATAGGCTATAGTCTATAGTCTAGTCTAGTCTAGTCTAGTCTATCGTCTAGTCTATAGTCTAGTCTATCGTCTAGTCTATAGTCTAGTCTATAGTCTAGTCTATCGTCTTGTCTATAGTCTAGTCTATAGTCTAGTTTATAGTCTAGTCTAGTCTATAATGCAGTCTATAGTCTAGTCTGTTGTCTAGTCTATAGTCTAGTCTATAGTCTAGTCTATAGTCTAGTCTATAGTCTAGTCTATAGTCTAGTCTATAGTCTAGTCTATCGTCTAGTCTATAGTCTAGTCTATAGTCTAGTCTATCGTCTAGTCTATAGTCTAGTCTAAATAATAAAAATTTTGAAAAAGTTTACATTTATTTAAAATTTATTAACTTTTTAATTGAGTAACCGAGTTAAAAGTATCGAATAATACTGAGCAACGAAAAGTAGCAATATTTAACAACACTATTTGTAAATGTATCCAAATGCATACATGTCCGTATGAGTACTTTATTTTTTTGGAAAAGATAAATTAATAATACGCCCCCAATTGCTAGTATAGAATTGGAAATATTTTTAGCTTAAACAACAGTTTAGTTCTTTTGTAAAACTCGTCTCGATTAAACATGAATCGTGCGTTCCAATACTCTGTATTGATTTTAATGGGATTTTGTAATTTAACCCATTCAACCAAATGGTTAATTGATAATCCTGGCTTTAATGATGCCTCTGCCTGGCTAGATGAGTACTTGCCTTGTGCACGGGAAAATGTTATTTTTCCCGAAACCTATCAAGCATTATTACCTTTACCCAAACAAGTAGACGTGGGTGGATTTATTTTACCAAAAGATGGTGCAATTCTTTTGCCAGCAGAAACTACCATAACACTGGGAGGTGAGGCTCGTGAAAGAGATTGTGATAAAGGTAAAGCCTATTTAAAGCAGCCAACTGTCCATAAATGGTTTGATCCTAAAACATGGCGTTCATCTAAAGAACAACAGTCTAATACAGCTATACCGGACATGGAGAGAGTGCCTTGCAACAATGAATCTGTGGTTATTAAAAGTACTGGTCCTTTGGTATTTGATTTAGAATATACTCCCTATTTACGTCTGGGACAATTGAGTTTAGCTGGCTCCTTACTCTCGAAGGACTATTTAAAGGAGCTGTTATATTCTGACTTAGGACAATTTCTGTTTAAAAATCAAGCCGGAGTTAATGTGGAATATTATCATAATGATGTCTGTGGCTGTCATAAAGATTTCAATACCTTCACAGAACCCATTTGTCATAATGTAATCGATAACTGTCCCCGTCCCCACTGTTTAGTGCCAATTGTACCATTTGGTAGTTGTTGTGGCATATGTGGCTCTACCGTAAAATTTGCTGTAGAATACTGTGAAAACGATATGTTAAATTTGCTGCGAGATATTATAGCAAAAGGTCTCAAGGCCCAATCTTTGGAAGAGGATATAGACTTTTATGTCAATTACATCAATTCCCATAATTATGGCAATTATTTGCAGGCTATCATTGTAGATCGTGATGGTTATTCTGAGAAAAGTGTAAAATTTATGAAATATCTTAATGAAACCATAGACTGGTCTAAAAAATTGAAATTAGAACCTCAACACATATATGGTTTTGAATTTTCTGGTCGTCCCTATAATCCTAATGTTACTTTTGGTTCAATGCTATTGATTCTATTATGTTTAATATTCGTTAGCATTGTGGCTTTGGTTATATTTGCTCACTATCAACCCGACAATCGTTATCTGCACTATGTCCCCCGCTGGGTTTATGATCCCCGTTTATGGCGTGCATTTGTCAATAGGTCGAATAATGTTTTCGCACGCTTCGATAATACCAGAGCTAGTATACAAACTATGACAGCGGAGAGTAATAGAAAAAAAGCTTTTACTATGGGATATGATCCCGAAAGTGGCCGTGTTAGAGAGCAAGCCTTTGATAATCCCATGTTTGGTGAAGTACCGACAACATCACAAGCAGCAGCTGCACGTAAAGAGGAAACGAAGCAAGAGCTGCAAAAGGAAGATGTTATAAAAGATGTGGCTCAAGAAGTTCCCCAGCTTGTTATAGAAAGTGTTGATATCATCGATAGTGTGGAGAGGGAAGAGGAAGAAGAGCAGGAATTGACGGAAATTAAATTGGAATCTTCATCTGAAGATGATGACGAAGAACAAGAAACTGTGGAATAATTATTTTATAGATTATTGATATTAATATTGAAATATACATTATAAATGTTAGTATGCATATAATATAAAATTTAAGATGTAAATTTTCGAAGACTTTCTCAATGTTGAAATAAAGGCGAGCTGAAAACCCGTTTATTTAAGCATCGAGAAACTAGCAGCCCTTTTTTTTGCTTATTTAAAACTTATTTTCGATCTTCATTTAAAAGTTAAAAAAATATCTACATATCGAGGGACTATATTCAATAGTCGCTATCTGTCATTTTCATGAAAATGAGATTTTGATGGCAAAATATTCAGCAAACTATCCCGCATCAGTGATATAAATTTCAAAGAAAAAAAAATATTTTTTGGCAATTTTATAGCTTTTTTTAAATTTCTCTATCTTAAAAAAAGAAAAATTCTGAATGCAAAACTCTCTATCTTATCCAAAAATTGCTTCAAACTCTATCCCTTTGGATGATTTTCTGTTGCAAAACAAGTCTTCTTAATAATTTGGACATGCTGAACACAAATCCGTCAAAATATTTAAAATCGGTCTAATAGTTTTTGAGATATCGCTCATTATGATACTAATTAAATCAATTTTATTGTCGTGTTTAACCATATAACTTTGATTTTGGACCAAAACATTATAATCTGTTGCTTTTTCAACAACTTGGTTTATTTTCCTCCATTAAATTGTATAAAATATAATATTTATTGATTTTAATTCAAATAAAAATTTTATATTTCCATGAAAAACTCTCTATCTGTTGGTTGAATGAATATTTTCGTAGAAAAATAAGCTCTATCTGATATAAATTTGTGAATAATTTTGCAAATAATGCAAAATTTAAAATTCTTTTTATATAAGGGTTTAGTATATGGTCGTAGAAATATATTGTAGAAGAAAAAATTTAAAAATCTTCACTAACTAGCGAAATAAACAGTTTTTTTGCTCTCCTGAAAACTTGTATTATTTTAGATAGGGACTACTGAATATAGTCCCTCGATATATATTTATTTCTTTATATGTAAATCAATACAAAAAGATTTTCCATTACAAAAGAATTACATCCTTGACACTTAAAAATGTAAGATTTTAAACCAAGTGTCCTCTACCAGTGGACAAAAGGTCATTTCACATTGACAAATCTTCTATTCATTTACGATTGATTATTGATTGAGTGGTTGTATGCACATTATGAACGATTCAAGTTCAAGAAATACAACATGCATTAGCAAGTAATTTAACTTTATTTATACCTATGTACATATAATTTCCCTATTCAAAAATAATTCATAGGTATTCTATTTTAACCATAGAATAATTTTCAAACTAAAAAAATCAATAAATTATTGAGTTCAGTTTAATAATAAATATGTATGTATCAGTGCGTAATTGTTGATAGGTAAGCAGGTGTACTTCCTATCTATTTATTCTTTCGCCCTGTTCCAACATTTTAATGATACATAATAACATGTTGGGGATTTGTTTAGATAGTAAATATGTATTTTAACTATTCTACCATGTTGTATGTGTCTAACCTTATTTAGTTAAGGAATTATTAATAATAAATTCCTTTTTGTCAGATACATAATTATGTATTTCTAAAACTAATAGAAAGAGTTTTAAGGACTTATTACATGTTTAAGATTGTAATGATGATTAAATTAAATGTGGGTAATTTGGGAGTCTTAAAAGAGATTGATTGTAAAGTACATAACACAAAACTTCTAATAATTTACAAATCCTTCACAAATAATTAATATGTTTATTAAAAAAATAGTATATTTTTATAAATTATTTTAAATTTTATAATAAAAATATTTATATTTTTCCAATTCTTCAGTATAAATATCTATTTTTGTAAATTATTTAAAAATAGTTGTTTTTTGAGTTTTTTTTTTTTTTTTTTTTGTAAAAAATGTAATAATCAATTAGAAAATAAAAAAAAAATTATAAAACTAACTACCCACTTCCCATACTACCAACTTTTCCTTCTGTGTCTACCCTTCTAAAAATAGTAAAATGGCAATACTGTTTTTTATTTTCTCTTTATTTCATTCTCTTTGAATTATTGCATATTGTTGTTGCTGTTCTTTTTTTTATTAAATCAATCCGCAATCCACCAAAAAATTGATTAATTTTCAGAAGTGTTTTTAATACGGTTTTGTTCGGGGTAGTAGATAAAACGCTAAATATTTTAGTATTGTCTTTTGTGTTTAATAATTAGAAATTGTTTATTAAACTTATTTTAATAAAATGGCAAAAAGTAAAGTAAATTCAGTGGCAGAAACAGCGTATGGCGGCATTTATAATACCTTACGTATTTTGGTACACTTGACGGCTGCTGTACAATTTTCCTATTCCATTTATTATGATCATACTTACGTACATTTTCCGGTCTCCGATAGCAATATGCACAATCCATTTGGTGGCAAATTTAAATATTTAACATTTCTAGATGCGGTATGTAAAAGTGTACAAAAATTTCAATTTTCATTTAAATGGCAGACAGGTGAAAGTTTAAACTTGAAAATATAGTTTGTTATAATCGCAGGGCAAAGTCTACAATTGTTTCTCTGTGTTATCTCATTTGTTTTGTTCTTGGTCAGTTTATGTAGTTGTTGTTTTCTATAAAAGAATAACAACAATTATAAATCCCAAGTAATGCTAATGTTGTGGATTATCATTGAATAAAGCAATAAGAATTATTCTAGTGATGTGTATGGTTAAATATTAAAATTGTCAAGATTTTGTATAGAAAATTTCTAAAATATGGTGCTATTTTTGTAAATTAATGTAACCATAAAAAATTACTTGATTTATTAATAGTTTTATATTATTATAGCAGTTTTTAGTAGTTGATTGATAAGTTGTCACCACTAAAGAGCAATGTTTTTGTAAACAAAAAAAAGCGTTATCTAAAATGATGCCAGATTTATTATTTAATCGTCAATAATACCGCTTATTTACAATTGTGACACTGACCACAAGCTTCACATGTAGGTATTTATTGGGAAATTATTTTTTGTAAAATTATATAAAACAAACCTTGCAATAATCACATTTGAATCAATATTTAAGTTAGGCTGATATATCGATAGATAGATAGATAGATGATAGAAGATAGATAGATAGATCGATAGATAGATAGAAGATAGATACATAGAAGATAGATAGATAGCATAGATTAGATAGATAGATAGATAGATAGATAGATAGATAGATAGATAGATAGATAGATAAGATAGATAGATAGATAGATAGATAGATCAGATAGATAGATACGATAGATAGATAGATAGCATGATAGATAGATAGATAGATAGATAGATAGATAGATAGATAGATAGATAGATAGATAGATAGATACATAGATAGATAGATAGATAGATA